GCCTGGGTTGCAATAGCTACTCTGGGAACTTGACATTCAGCATTCATGACTACCTCCGAGAACAGCACTGAGCTGTCAGATACTACAGCAAACAGCAGCAAAATGTATTTTGTAATCAGAGAAATACTTGATTGTGATTCTTTCTGTTTATACCCAAGAAAAATAAAGAACAATGGTCAATCCAAGAAGGGCTCAAGGACCCCAGCTTTCTCCTCATTTTTTTTTTCTCAGTAAAGATGATATTGAGTAGCCTGGGGCCTAGGCCCGGTGAGCCCAGAGTTCTTCATATTCAACCATTTCTTCAGGGCAGAAGCAGTGTCTATACCTGGTGGCAGTCGCTGAACCTATAAGAATATGGATCTGTGGGGTATAATGTAAAGCTGCATTCGTCTTCTTTTTAAAAAAATATTTATTTTTTTAGTTGTAGCTGAACACAAGATCTTTAACTAATTAATTTATTTTTATGTGGTGCTGAGGATCGAACCCAGGGCCTCCGCTGTGCTAGGTGAGCGCACTATCACTGAGCCACAACCCCAGCCCTGCATTTGAGTTCTTAAATTTAACTTTAACTTTCACTATTAACCCCTGGAGAGACAGACGTAACTGGCCTTTGTTGAGCCTGTTTGTATTTAAGAGGTAAATTAATAAGACACAGTGTAAGAAATGTTATAGAGAACGTTTAAAACAGCCTTAAGACAACATAATGAAGCCAACAATTCCTCAATAAATAAAAAATTATGCCAGAAATTCCAATTAAACCAGGAGTCCGTGATTTAGTAATCTGGTCTCCCCAGAACACATTCTACTTTGATATTCCTCTGTTATTTTAGGATTTCTAGCTAAATTGGTATCCCTGGGCTGTCCTTAATGACATAAACAGCTAAACATTCTTGCATTTGAGGGGCGCCCCACCCCACCTCCATCCAGTGTCATTGTTAAGAATTTCACATCCTTGCTTTGTCTTTCTGTAGAGGCTCATTCTATATGAAATAACCTTTCTACAATGAAAACATCTAAAAAGTGCACAGAAGCATTCTTCCCCCAGGTCCCGAGAAGGGATTGGTGCAGACAGACTTATCACGCACCTCCACCCTCCAGAAACTCTATAAACACAACTCCCCGAGGCCATCTTTATTGAAGGTGTCAGCACTTGACCTAAAAATCTATTTGTATTATAGGTAGTAGCTAAAAGCAATCTGTTAAATAAATGCGTCCAATTTCTATTGCCCGGAAGCAATTGCATATTTATTACTGACCCAATAGTTTGACTTACGATAGCCATAAACTAAATGAACAATAACTTGATCACTTTGAAGATCGTTATCAATGAGGTGATAGCAAAAATGCTTTGAGCATCTGCTGGGGGCACCTTTTATATTTTATTTTTATTTTATTTTTTTGTTTTGTTATTGGCAAAGACACTAATGGGCATTCTCAAATGAAAAAATCAATGGGAATCATGAAAACCAAGCCATCCAGAATCTCTTAGTTAAACTGTGCAGAAGAAGTACCCTCTTTGCCTCTTTGTTCTTCATCCCCCACCCTAACTCAAAGGGAAACAAAACGGGGATTTGAAGGGAGCCCTAGATATCGGACAGAAAAAGCCCTCTTCAGGGAGGAAACAGCAGCTCTCCACGGTGTAGGGATTGAGACTTCATACCCAATAGAATGAGCAGAAAACAGTATTTTAACAAGTCTTACAGCCATCAAAACCAGTGGCCCCAGAATTATGGTCTCTACATTACTTTCTAACACATCTTTTAGTTTTTTCCAAATAGTGGACAATCACCCTAAAGGACCTTAGATGAGTCCACTTGTCCCTCAGTCTTTCCCTTTATCAAGGGTATCATCAGAGAGACTTTTACAGACTTTCACAGAGGGGGCCGACTTCCTTCCTCCCGAGGCGCCAAAGATGGGTGCGAGGAAGTGGCCTCTCCATCCGCTACCTGAGCTGGAAGGTATGTGTGACCTACCATCCCTCCCAGAATTGAGGTTGGAGAGTTGAAATACTGGAAGTGGAGAAAGGAAGGTCATTTTTTTTATTGGTGCATCACAATCAATGATGAATGGGAATTCATTGTTTGTTAAATATCAAACATGCACACAACACAATTTGGTCAAGTTTTTTCCTCAGATATTAACTGTTCACTTTAGGGTAGATTCCCACCCCTTTGTTCTCTTTGTTTTGTATCTTTTTTTTTTTTTTTTTTTTTGTGTGTGTGTGTGTGTGTGTGTTACTTTTTGGTCATTTAATTGCTTCATAAATTCTAAACCAATTCACAGCCAGGAACAAAGGAATTTTCAGTAAATAAATTCATTGCTAAAAAAGTCAATCTTTTAAAAAGAGTTTAATGTGAGGAATAAAATCTTAGCAGGGGAATCTGTGTCTTTGTCCTCTGTTAACACAAATGAAGGATGAGCAGTGAGCACAACCAACAGGGTGGTATCCAATGACACCTGGGTCTCTGTTGCCTCAGGCCACACATCCCCACCTTGAGGTTCTTTGCCTTGTGAACGGTAGTCCCCAGACATCCCTGTCTAGTCCCTGGCAACCTATGTGGTCAGTAATGTGCTGTGGGTGTGGTGAGGATTTCCCGAGTCTGGACCATTGGCTGGTCTCAAAGGCGTGTGTGGAATTTTCTGTCCCCAGGTCTTCCTTCTGCCTTGAGTTGTGTACTAGAGAAAAGTCACTGTGCTTCTGTATCATTCTAGCCCAAGGGTGAGACCAAGATTTCTCTTGTGAGGCTCATGCAAAGGCCCACTAGACCCTCCATCAAGAAATCTGTGATAATACAAGTGATATCATGCAACAACAACAACAAAGAAATCTGTGAGATGACACAGACATTGAAGGAATTGTTCTTGTAGGGAGTCCTTCAGTTAATGAGCAAATACATCTTTAGAGACCCAAATATTATTCACCAGGCATTATGCTAGGTTTTGGGTGTTTTTGTTTTTTTTTTTTTTTTTAATGGGGAAAACTTAGAACCTAGTTGGAGAGTCAAGTTGTATTTTTTAGCATATCTAATTATTCAAGAGTAAGCTAAATGCCTTGTAGATGACACAAACCAAAAACTCTGGAGAAGTTTAAAATGAACCCTGGGCTTAGGCAACGTGTTAATCAGCTTTCTGTCACTGTGACAAAGACAACATAAAAGGAGGAAAAGTTTATTTTGGCTTATAATTTCAGAGGTTTCGGTCCATGGTTGTTGGACCTTGCTGCGTTGTGCCTGTGGTGAGGCAGAACATCATGGTACAGGGAGCATATGATACAGCACAGCTGCTCACCTCATGGGAGCCAGGAAGGAAGCTAAGAAAGAGAGGAAAGAACAGGGGTCAGAGGATCCCCTTCCACAACACCCCCTCAGGACCTAACTTCCTTCCCCTAAGCCCCACCTCTTAAAGGTTCCGCTTCCTCCCAAATGACCTTTCCAGGTGACCACACCTGTAGAGCATGAGACTTTGGGTGGCATTTAAGATCCAAACCATAACAGACTATCAATGAAGTCTTCACTAAAAGGAAGACTGAACTCAGGCTTGAATTGTGGTTAACATGTGGATTTAAGAGGATGAAGGGAGAGTCTCCAGCTCCAGTCAGGAGAAGAAACTGGCCTCAAATACACCCATGGCCACTCACCAGAGGCTCAGCAAGACCCTGAGAGAAGAAGACCCTGAGAGTCTGGGGGACATTTTCAGAGGCAGGAAGTGAAATTATCCTCAGATAATTTTCCTGACATCTTCCAGTTGATCAGACATGCTCTTGACCTTCTGTGATAGGTTTCCTGAATTTTTTCAGATGTAAGAATTCTGTTAGGGAAAAGGAATGTAGACTGGAAAGCACAGTCATGGAGGCGTGCCCAGGAAGGGAGCCAGAAGGGCCAGAGGTCAGCCTGACCCTTCTTCTAGTCCTAATTAATGGGAAGTTTTTGTTTTGTTTTGTTTTCTTCCCCAAATAGAGATTCCTAGGAAGAGACAGAGGCCTGAGTCCCTCAGGTGGACTCTACTTTGTGGCAGATCCAAATGGCATCCCCAATGCCACAGGTGTTGGCTTAATTAAAAGAGGGAATCCAAAGACCAACCTTCACATCATGCTTCCAAGGACCTCTCAATCTCACCCCTTACAACTCACATGACAGATACTGGTTCCTTCCCACCTCAGGGCCTTTGCACATGTTAGTCCCTCAGCCTAGAAAGTGATTTCCCTTCCCCTTCACCAGGCCACAGTTTTACATACATGGAATCACAGAGTCTACACTTTTTAAAAATCAGGCTTCTTTCACTCAGAATAATTATTTTGAGTTTCACCCATGTAGCTGCATGTAGCAATAACTCGCTCTGCATTGTTGCATAGTATTCCATCATGTGAGTGTATCATGATTCATCTACACACTCCCTTTTTGGCAAACATGCGGTTGTTTTGAGTTTGGGACTGTTTTAGTATCTCTTCAAATGTGATGTCTTTGAAGTGACTGTTAAGTCTCTGAACATTTGCATAAGGCACTTATTTTGTGTTTGATGGGCAAATGCTTTCATTTGGGATGAATATCAAGGAGTGGCATAGCTAGAGCTCCAATGGTAGATTAAGTTTCATTTTTTAATAAACAATCTACAGAGCACTTTTAACCCCAGGATATGTGAGGATTGCTCAAAGCTCTCAAGTGAGCTTTGAGTTCTCCAGGAACAAAGGCAGTGGGGGAGAGGAAATCAGGACCAGAAAGAGGCTACAGGCAGCAAGTCCCACCCCTGACCTATGGCCCCGCCTCTCACTGCTTCGCCCCGCCCCTTACCTGTGGCCCCGCCTCCCACTGCCTCGCCCCGCCCGGATCTGGTCGCCCTGTCAGGTCCCAGATGCACTACCACCCGGGTAACTCCTTTGGTGCTTCCATTACTTAGGTGCCAACAGCGAGGGGACTGCCCACCCTATGTGCTCCACTTGCACCCTCACCCAGACCACTGCTGCCAAATCGGAGCCCTAACCAACTTGTCTCTGTTTTCCTCAGGGGACACTTAAACTGGCTTCAACTAGATCGAAGAGTACTGGAGCACGACTTCCCTAAAAAGTCAGGACCCGTGGTTTTGTACTTTTGTGTCAGGTACGTACACCTGGTATTCACACTTTGGCTTCTCTGTCTTTGTCAGAAAAGCCTGGAAGGAAGAAGTGGCTCAAAGGAGGGCGATTGTAAGTTTGCCTTGTGCGTTGCTAGGGATAAAGGTTGTAGTGTAGCTCTGTTCTCAGCGAATGGAAACACAGGCGTGAGTGTGCAAGGCGTGTGTCACTGCGCGTGGACACAGGTATTGGCATTCTTGCACTAGGATGCGTTTGTGGAATAAAGATCAAAGTTTTCTTTTGTCGTTTTTCAGGGGTGTGGGAAGTGGGTCGGATATCTCATACTAAACCGAGTCCCTCACAGCACCTGCCTGGAACTCTTTTGGTGGAAGTTAGGAGCTCCATAATAAAAGCCTTGGTTTTCTTCCCTTCTATCACAAAAGGCCTCTTGAATTTTTTTTTTCTCTATCCCAAAGAGGACTAATTAAAATCCAGCAGCAAAACACAGGTCAGTGTATGTTGTGGCAAGGGAGGAGAAAGCACAATGGTGTGTCAGAAATGGTTTGCATTTTCCATTCACTAATCTAAGACATTTCATTTAATGACTGCAAATGACTGCAGAGGAAACGGGTTTTTTGTGATACAGTGCTTTCAGAGTTAACATTTGCAGCAGTCAGGACTGATGCTTCTGTTTGCAGTAGGCTGTGGGAAGCTACCAGGGGGCAAAGTCCGACTCCAAGCTCCCAGACCAGCAGCACTGAGCTACCCAGTCTGTGGAGCCACCAAGTCCTTTCTGTCTAGAACGTGGCAACGGTATTGCAGAAGCACTGAGAGGTTTTTTTGGTTTGGTTTGGTTTTCTTGTGCTGGGGCTCCAGCCCAGGGCCTCCCACATGCCAGACAAGTTTTGTACAAATAAGCCACACCCCCGGTTTTCAGATACCATCTCTTCCACCCAGGACACTGAATCTGTGTTCCGTTCTATGCTAACAGACATTCACAAGGAGGATACAAACGATTTGCAGTTCGTTTCCTCCTAAAGAACTGGGTCAGGATTGCAGTTTTCCATATAACCACCCTGAATCCACAAACGGGCATTTCAAGAGCCCAAGAGTTAAAGGGTCCATTTAACAGACTGAAGTGGATGACTTTACCTCAGCTGGCAGAGTCAATTCAAACTTGCATTTAATGCCTTTTTGATTTGTTTAACAGCTGTGGACATATCAGAGCTAATCTTAGCCATTTCCATTGCTGATGGGAATGATTTCAATGCCATATTCTCTTTAGTGGTGTCTACAGTTTCTCAGATTAATGGAAAAGTAACTATAGAAAGCAAAGACTTTAACAGTTCCGCCGGGAGGGGCAGGTGGTGGTGGGCAAGGCTGGAGTTGAATTGAAGCAGTTCATTAACCTGTAATGCAAGGGGGATAAATAACTCTAACTGTGCATCAGCCTCCCCCATCCTCCTGGTACTGTTTTTTCCATAATTTCCATAAAGGTTGTATTGAACATCAGACGGTGTACACAGACATTTCAATTTGCACATGATTCTTAATATAGGAAGTGCAAATCTAAAAAGCCACATATTTTGATTCTTTTTTTTTTCAATAGTTATCCCAGGAATTTTTCAGCTTCAAATCCAGAGGCAAATTTTCATTAGCAGGATAGCAAGTACCAGTATGTTCAGATGCTGACAAGCTGTCACATAAGTCCCACCAGCTCATGACTTAATACCATGTACAGAAAATATTCAAGTTTTTAACCTTTCACATCATGTTAACAAAATCATTAGGAGAACCAGGTTATCATAAACTTTTAAAATATGCTTTTATTAGGGCTGGGGTTGTGGCTCCCTGGTAGAACACTCACCTAGCACATGCAAGGCACTGGGTTCCATCCTCAGCACCACATAAAAACAAAGGTATTATGCTCAAATACAATTTAAAAATTTTTTAAATGTTTTTATTAGTGCATTTTGATTATACATACTAGTGGGGTTTTTTTTTAACATAATCATACATGTATGGGGTTTAATTTGCCCCATTTCAGTCCCTAGTCCTTACTCTTTCCATCCTCTCTTCCCTCTTTTATTCTTCTTTCTTTACTTGATTAGTATTCCTTATGTTTATTTATTGTTGTTGTTGTTTTTTAAAACTGGTATCACCGTAAACTTTTACAGAGGGCACATAGTCCTGACTGGTCAAGGATCATGGAAAGTTTCTCCTTAGAAACAATTCTACAAAACAAAACAAAACAACAAAAAAAAAAAAAACATGGGATTCAAATTTAAAATGTTTAAAATGGATTGAATGTATAGCTGTGACTCCAAATTGCCCTTTGGTTTGCTTTCTATTACAGGATGTAAAACTACTCTTAACCCATGATAAGCCAGGGCAACTGAAGCCTTCTGTAAAGTCCCACTGTTTTCTCCTTGTACCAGAAAATAAACAACCAGCAAATGATTTCACCTCTTAAAAAAAAAAAAAAWTYMWTT